CACGCCCGCAGGCAAAAGCCACCACAAGGCCACAGCAATGGCTCAAGGCATCCCCCCGGCCGCAGCAATGGCTTCTTATAGGCGTTCCAGGCTGCCGTTTGACAGGCCTCAAACGCTCCAAACGCTCCAAACCCTCCAAACGTCCGCCCAGCTCCGCACACTCCCGCATGCAAAACGCCAAACTTCGCAGGCAAAAGGTACCCCAACAAGCCCCACAGGCGCCACGACGCTCCAAACGCTCCAAACCCTCCAAAAGTCCGCCCAGCTCCGCAGGCAAAAGGTACCCGAACAAGCCCAACACGCGCCACTCCCGCCTCAAACGTTCCAAACGCTCCAAACCCTCGACACGTCCGCCCCGCTCCGCAGGGAAAAGGTAGCCCAACAAGCCCAACACGCGCCACTCCCGCATGCAAAACGCCCAACTTCGCAGGCAAACGGTACCCCAACAAGCCCAACAGGCGCCACGCCCGCAGGCAAAAGCCACCACAAGGCCACAGCAATGGCTCAAGGCATCCCCCCGGCCGCAGCAATGGCTTCTTATATGCGTTCCAGGCTGCCGTTTGACAGGCCTCAAACGCTCCAAACGCTCCAAACCCTCCAAAAGTCCGCCCAGCTCCGCACACTCCCGCATGCAAAACGCCCAACTTCGCAGGCAAAAGGTACCCCAACAAGCTCAACAGGCGCCACGACGCTCCAAACGCTCCAAACCCTCCAAAAGTCCGCCCAGCTCCGCAGGCAAAAGGTACCCCAACAAGCCCAACACGCGCCACTCCCGCCTCAAACGTTCCAAACGCTCCAAACCCTCGACATGTCCGCCCAGCTCCGCAGGCGTTAGCCCATTCTATATGAACCAAATATGGACCAAATGTGGACCTATGGACCAAATATGGACCAAATATGAATCAAATATGAACCAAATATGGACCAAATGTGGACCTATGGACCAAATGTGGACCTATGGACCAAATATGGACCAAATATGAATCAAATATGAACCAAATATGGACCAAATGTGGACCTATGGGCCAAATATGAACCAAATATGGACCAAATATGAATCAAATATGAACCAAATATGACCAAATGTGGACCTATGGACCAAATATGGACCAAATATGAATCAAATATGAACCAAATGTGGACCTATGGACCAAATATGGACCAAATATGAATCAAATATGAACCAAATATGGACCAAATGTGGACCTATGGACCAAATATGAACCAAATATGAATCAAATATGAACCAAATATGGAACAAATGTGGACCTATGGACCAAATATGGACCAAATATGAATCAAATATGGACCAAATATGGACCAAATGTGGACCTATGGACCAAATATGAATCAAATATGAACCAAATATGGACCAAATGTGGACCTATGGACCAAATATGGACCAAATATGAATCAAATATGAACCAAATATGGACCAAATGTGGACCTATGGACCAAATATGGACCAAATATGAATCAAATATGAACCAAATATGACCAAATATGGACCAAATATGAATCAAATATGAACCAAATATGGACCAAATGTGGACCAAATATACACCAAATATGGACCAAATGTGGACCTATGGACCAAAATATGAATCAAATATGAACCAAATATGGACCAAATATGGACCAAATATAGACCAAATATGAATCAAATATGAACCAAATATGGACCAAATGTGGACCTATGGACCGAATATGGACCAAATATGAATCAAATATGAACCAAATATGGACCAAATGTGGACCTATGTACCAAATATGAATCAAATATGAACCAAATATGGACCAAATATGGACCAAATGTAGACCAAATATGGACCAAATGTGGACCTATGGACCAAATATGAATCAAATATGAACCAAATATGGACCAAATATGGACCAAATATGAACCAAATATGGACCAAATGTGGACCTATGGGCCAAATATGGACCAAATATGAATCAAATATGAACCAAATATGGACCAAATATGGACCAAATACCGACCAAATACCGACCAAATATGGACCAAATGTGGACCTATGGACCAAATATGGACCAAATATAAACCAAATATGGACCAAATATGGACCAAATATGGACCAAATATAGACCAAATGTGGACCAAATGTGGACCTATGGACCAAATATAGACCAAATATGGCCCAAATATGGACAACATATGGATATCCATGGGTAAATGAAACGCTAACTGTTGAACAACCTCCAGCAATGACGCGCACCTCTGTGGGACAGAAAGCAATGGCCCATGCAGCCGATTTCGCTGCAGCGACAGCTCTAACAAACTCGCAAGGGGAAGGAACGATGGTAGAGCCCCAGTGAGCCGATTCTCGCCCAAAGAGAGCCTGAAACCCAACTTGACATATCTTGGAAAGTGGTAAGGTGTCACTGCTCAAATCTGCTCAATGTCAAGGCACCAATGTTCAAAACAAGCCAAAAATGACACTGCTTTGCTTCAAAATGCTTCAAAGCTAAAACTCAATGACTCTTGAGCACTGAACCCCTGAAAGACGCAACAGAAGTTCCGTTGAGTCAGCCCAGTGACCGAGTCAAGCGCTTCAGCTTCATCAACGCAGCTGGGATGGACCCCTGGCCATGGATGGGAGGTGGTTGGTCCATGTGAAATTCACCTGTTGAACCACGAGAAAGCCAACAATGGGGCGAGGCAGCTAGGACCGCTACGAGGAGGTGAGTCTTTCTAGTTTGCGCAACACTTTACCCCAGTAAAATTCCTGATTTCATTCAGTCTCTGACAGCCTCTATGCTCAGTGTCGGCACCTGCAGCTGGTTATGATCCAAATACAGCGATCGCAGCTGCGGCAAATCACCCAGCTCCAGCGGGATCTCGCCCGTCAGTTGGTTGTGGTCAATGTACAACTCCTGGCGGCGTGGCCAGGAGTTGAACTTGAAGACCTGTATGGCTCAGGTGAAAATCCCAAACTGTTCCCGGTCACCCTTGCACCGTTGCGCCTTCAAATTCTTCAGCTTCCCAAGGCTCTTGGGGATTGACCCTGTGAAGTTGTTGCTCCGCAGACTTAGATCACCTCAGCATGGTCCAATTGCATCCAATGGGATCCAGTGCGATCGGATTCATCAAGGTATGGCACAAACTCGTTCCACCCCAAAAAGATGCTCAAACGGAATCTCTTGACACATTCTGACCATTAGGCAGGTTTGACTACAGTAAATATCCGTGCCCGCTGTCCACTAGGTCCAACAGTTTGGGCACCTGGAGTCCGGAAGGATCCAAGTGAATCAAAATGTGGGGGCAAAGCTTCCACGGCCATTGTCCCTTGGACCAACTCGCAATCGATGTCCTATTGGATGATCACCCAGAAAAATGGCAGGTTGAACCCCAACCAGCCAACCGATTTGGAGTTCCGAAACAAAAAACAGAGAAGCTGCGAATTTCAGTCCCGAATAAGTTGAATAAGGTGAAAGACCCTGGGACAGTTGCTTCCCAGTGGCGGAGCTGCTGCAGATAGCCCAGCTCTTGGGGAATCGCCCCACCTTCCCCATGAACCAGGTAGGTCAAAGTGCAACAAGGTGGGTTTCGAGCAAAATTCATCAAAATTTGGCATTGAAGTCTCCTATAAGATCACTTGTGTACAAACAAATCAGAGCTTCACAAGATCAAGGTTTGTTCTAACTCTACACGCATCATGCTCTGCTTGAAAGCAGCAAAGGGAATGGACAAATCTGATTCTACTCATTCCTTTGATGGGGGCCAAGACTTCTAAGTAACAAAAGACAAATTCCAAAACATTCTTGGCATGTACTTCGCAGCAAAGTCACTGAGCTGATTCTGTGACAAATAAAGATCATGCAGTTGTCCATTTTCCCCGAGTTTCGCCAGCTCGGGGGGTATCCTTCCACATAGCTGGTTTTCCCGCAAGGACAGTGCCCTTCAGGGCCAAGGGTGGCAAACCCTGGCATGCAAACCTGGCCAAAATCATCTAGAACCAAAACTGCATGGAACCGAAAAACTTGTAAATGCCTTGAAAAAACTTTGTAAATGCCTTTTAAAAACATTTTAAATATCTTGTAAATCTTGAAAACGTGTTCGCCTAGGCATGGAAACGTCAACCACCACCATCACCACTCACCACTGTACCCCCCCGCAATCCTCAACACTTTGAAACAAGAGCCAGTCCTGAGTAGCTTCAGTTCCCCCAGCTCTCCCGGAATGCACCCAGTTAACTGGTTCTCTTCGAAGCTGATCGTTGTCACAGAAAATAACTGGCCCAGTTCTGCTGGAATTGGTCCAGACAAACGATTTTGATCCAGATTCAGACGTGTTAACCTCTTGAGCGACCCCAGTTCTTTTGGAATCGTACCCTCCAAATGGTTCTTGTCAACTTCCAATAGCTGAAGGGACCGGAGGGCCCCCAGGTGTCTAGGAATATGTCCCTTCAAGCGGTTTCGCGTGAGCAAAAGCTCTTGCAATAAAGAAAGATTGCCCAACTCCTTTGGAATCTCTCCCATAAGGTTGTTGGACTGAAGCCTCAGTTGTTGCAAAGACTTGAGTTCTCCCAGTTCTTTGGGAATACTTCCGTTCAGCTTGTTATTCGAAAGCGAAAGAAGTTTTAGTCTCCGCAGATTTCCAAGTTCTGCAGGAATCTCTCCACTCAGCCTATTGTCGGAAAGGCGCAGCTCTTGTAGTGCTTCAAGTTGGCCCATTTCTTTGGGGATCTCTCCTTCTAGCTGGTTGACCATAAGTTCCAGCCGCTGCAAAGACTTGAGTTCTCCCAGTTCTTTGGGAATACTTCCGTTCAGCTTGTTCTTCGAAAGCGAAAGAAGTTTTAGCCTCCGCAGATTTCCAAGTTCTGCAGGAATCTCTCCACTCAGCCTATTGTCGGAAAGGCGCAGCTCTTGTAGTGCTTCAAGTTGGCCCATTTCTTTGGGAATCTCTCCTTCTAGCTGGTTGACCATAAGTTCCAGCCGCTGCAAAGACTTGAGTTCTCCCAGTTCTTTGGGAATACTTCCGTTCAGCTTGTTATTCGAAAGCGAAAGAAGTTTTAGCCTCCGCAGATTTCCAAGTTCTGCAGGAATCTCTCCACTCAGCCTATTGTCGGAAAGGCGCGGCTCTTGTAGTGCTTCAAGTTGGCCCATTTCTTTGGGGATCTCTCCTTCTAGCTGGTTGACCATAAGTTCCAGCCGCTGCAAAGACTTGAGTTCTCCCAGTTCTTTGGGAATACTTCCGTTCAGCTTGTTATTCGAAAGCGAAAGAAGTTTTAGTCTCCGCAGATTTCCAAGTTCTGCAGGAATCTCTCCACTCAGCCTATTGTCGGAAAGGCGCAGCTCTTGTAGTGCTTCAAGTTGGCCCATTTCTTTGGGGATCTCTCCTTCTAGCTGGTTGTCGAACATACGCAGCTGTTCCAAAGCTTGAAGCCTTCCGAACTCCTTGGGAATGTGGCCCCCGAGATGGTTGTGCTGAAGATGAAGCCTGGACAACGACCTCAACGTGGAAGTGTCCAGAGTCAAGGGATGAAGATAGGAAGCATGCCGTCTCTTAACATACATCTTTGCGGCTGGAGGGAGAGAGAGAGAGAAAGAGAGAGAGAGAGAGACCCAGACAGACCCAGAGAAACCGAGGGAGGGAAAGGGAGAGAGAGAGAGATAGAGAGAGATGCAGAGAGAGAGAGAGAGAGACAAAGAGAAACAAAGAGAAACAAAGAGAAACAAAGAGAAACAAAGAGAAACAAAGAGAAACAAAGAGAAACAAAGAGAAACAAAGAGAAACAAAGAGAAACAAAGAGAAACAAAGAGAAACAAAGAGAAACAAAGAGAAACAAAGAGAAACAAAGAGAAACAAAGAGAAACAAAGAGAAAGAGACACAGAGAGAGAGAGATATATATATATAATTATATATATATATGGCACCTGCTCCTGTTTTGCGGTCTCTTTCTACAAGTTGCACTAGCACGTCTTAGCAAAGATCTGCCAAAGGAACAAACGTGGACGTCAGCCACACCTGCTGAATGTCCCACAATCAGTGCTGTCTTTAAAAAGCACTGGTATGTCCCAAATCATTCGTGCCAGTATGATGCAAGACCGAAAAACAGAGGGATTGCAACTCATCCATACCCAAAACATTGAATGTTCACAAAGGGATTGGGGGGGTTTGGGTGTGCTTGTTGTCTGCTGTTGCAGAAAATTCAAGGAACGACCCGAAGAGGAGCTAGCAATGAATACGCCAAGTCATGACAAAGTCCAACTGGGTATGGTTGAGCTACTCTTGTCCACGGAACACCTTTAGACTTGCTGCCAGTGAGATGGAAGTGAGGTTGTCCATTTCGACTGCACAAACCATTTGAACCATGACAAACTCTCTGACATCGAGCAACATCATGCCAGTTCAAGTTGCCAGACAACAAACGAGTACGTTTTCTCCATCTAGTCTTGCATTGACAAAAGTCTGAATAAAAAACACATGTGTGATCAGCATTCTGAAGAGCTACCAACTCCGGCAGGTACCACGCTTTACTTGAATGAGGATTCTCCAGCATCCAAGGAATTTTGTATTTGTCCAACCAGCGAATGATCTTGAAAGCCGATCCAAAACATGCATTACCAACAGCGACTTTCTCAGCATCACGTTGACTAAGATGAGGAAGACCCCAAGGATAAGCTTTGTTTCGTATCACCGAGGTACGATCACGTGCAGGGGAAAAAGTGGAACAAGGAGGACCAAACATAGCAGCCAAAATCTTACCATGTTTAATGTCAGAGTGAATCTTTCGCAAAACAGATGGCCTTGTAAGATCATGATTTTCGCCATGAAGAAGTTCCCACTCACGTGAAGTGAACCCGAGCTTCCTGACTGCCCTAGACACTCCACCAGATCCAGCAAAAAAGTCAGCAAAGTAGCCACGTTTCGTTGCTATTTTGGAAGAGTGAGTGATGGCCGGATAGTCGCGGCCTAGGATGATCTCCTCTAGATACTTCTCTGCGGACTTGCAAGCCATCTGAACACTGTGAGCCAGACGATGCCATGTCGCTGCAAGTCTGCCCGCCTTCTCGTATCGCTGTACACTCGTTCTGGTCATCCATTGCCCTCGCTTTCGAACTTCTTCCATGTCTCTGTCCTTTGAAGCCCTGTCTATCGATGGTCCAGAGTGCCTCGCCTGATATGGGACAATGTGCCCCACCTTCAGATCGTCGCAAGCTTGTCGGAACACTGTCATGTATTCCGCATAGTTGAAATTCCACACCAGATCCATCTTGGGCCCTCTGCAAAGCACTCTGAGAATTGGCGTCAGGAACTGAAGCCACTTTGAGTCCAGGAGGGTCCTTGCTGCCAGTCTTTGAGACATCTGATGTCTCCGTCAAACTGGTCACAATGCTCCAAAAACCGGTGACTCCCGATGTGGGAGGCACCAGGCCCATTTTCCTCAGTTTCAAGAGGGCACCAGGCCTGTGATAGGTTGACAGTTGGATCAAATTGAAGACTGCTTTCTGCACGTGACCCAACTCCACCATTCTCCAGCTGATGCCACACCACACTGCTAATGGGTAAGCAAGCCTCGAGCGAGATGGGCACAGCTTTCTCCAGCATTTCATGCTTCGCCACGCTCTCGACAGCTTCAAGTGATCAAGCTTCCCAAAATCCGGCTTTCTGTCCATCAGAGAGGCCATCACATAGTCCCCATAGTGGCTCCCCTCCCCCTCGAAGTACTTCGCATTGAAGAGGTCGACAAGCATGCGATCCACTTGGCCAGGGTTTGTGAAGGACACTCGTTTGGGCCTCGCCAACTCTTCCAGCTCCTGCCACTTCTTGTCGTAGTTTCCCTGACGCGTCGGCTGACGCTGGCCAGTTCCAAAAAACTCTGGTCCTGGCGACCCTGAAGCATTCCAGAGTTGACCAACTTCTGCAGACTTCCTTTTTGTTTGCTTTGCAAGGTACGACGCTTCTTTGCGCCTTTTTCTTCCTTCCATTCTGATGAGGTGCTTCCGCTGTCGCTCACCTCCCCCGTCTCCGCAGCATGGGACAGAAGATGGGCCACAGGATTCAACTCTGCAGCTTCTATCAACTTCAGAGGACTGATGACTTTGTCCACCACTCTCTTGGTCAAAAAGTCTCCCCCATTCAGCAGGCGAGTCCTTGAGGCTGCACGCTTCGGTGCGGGCAGGCTCCCATCCACTTCCAGTCTCAGAGAGCGGCTTCGAGATGCTGCCGCTCTCTTTGGCCCCGGTGAAGGGTGTGTCCGAAACTGGCTCAAACGACGAACTCGCTGCTGCTGCATGCAGCTGTTGCTTGGGGGCTTGGGAGGAAACGCCACAAAAATCATCGAGTTGGATGAGATCAAACAAAAGTTTCGACTCCTCGTCATCAAAAACTCTAGACGGCTCATCCGAAAAATTCAGCTCCGATGGAATGGCCAGATTTACATTCCTAGCAAACAAGTACGCATTGATTTGTCGAATTACTTTTAAAAGTTTGTAGTTCTTGGACCTGCTACGCTCTATACTCAGCACTACTCCAAGGTTATCACACAAATGCAAATGCCGGATATCATGGCCGAAAGAAGACATGCAAAGACGCCTAACAGCTTTCAGGACAGCTCTAGCTTCCAGGATACCTATACTTTCCTTAAAATTACATCTGCCCCATAGCTTGGGCATCCAGTGCTCACGCTTAAATCCAAATGCTGGCACTTCTACAAACTTCTCATCAACTTCCCATCCGGCCTCAGCAATTCTTTTTGCTGCGTCTGGGCTAAAGGGTCCCCAGCTCTGTCCATCAAAGTGAAACCCTGCAGAAGAAAGTGCGCTTTCTCTGGCCGCATGACTCCCAGATCTTCTGAAGCGAGACCGTTCCTGGAGCCGGCCAACCTGACTGACCACACTCTTGGGCCACCAGGCCTGACTCACGCCAAAACCACTGAGGCTTGAGTCAGAACTGGTGACTGCAGAGTTCCAAGGTCTCCACCAGTCTTGCACCAACAAAAACATGATTCCCATGAAACTTTTCAACTCCAGCTTGATTGAACTCCACAGACTTGCCACTTGCTTGTAATGCTTATGTATGAAACTGTAAACACTGTGGAAAATCGCCAAGCTACCACGTCGCATGAGACCTATGAAAGTGCAGTGACCAATGAGTACCTCAAGTGTTCTGCCAGTGCGGCGCCCCCGCCTCAAGAGTGCCTTGATAGCATGGTGAATTCGCCACAACCGTTTGGGATTTGTTCGGCTCCGCATCTGATCACCCTCCAAAACACAACCAAGCGCTTCGACATACGTCTCATTGATCTCAGTGGCATGTAATTCTAACCCCAGTGAATTGAAAACGGACTGCAAACCAGACATAGCCTTACTCACCCTGTCACGATCAGTATCAATGACCCCAAGGTTATCCACATAGACATAGTGAAATGGATCGCCATGGACATCTTTAACAACCTTCAGAATGATAGGACCACCTCTGTCATTTGCCGTCTACAATCCCTGAGTGGAGAAACTGAACCGCTGAGAAACTCATTCGCCCGCTGTGCAAAAAAACAATGACCATGAAAAGCCTTGACATAATGACCCTGCACGCGGCCAAATCACGTCATCATGAGCTAGCACCTTTCCCTCTAGCTCCAAACCAGTCAATCCAACCACATGCGCTGCTATGGGTTCCCAAGCGAAGTACCTAGCCAACCAGCTTGGCACTCGCATCCGGTGAAAACAATCGCGCACGTCAGACAAACCAATGAAAACTGTCAGGGCGTCCAACATCTCGTGATTTGGCATAACACCTTCGTCAAAAACCACTTCAATCTTTCCCAGTCCCTCCCCAGTCATAAGGTTGACACCAGGCGGATCATAGAAGCAGCTGTTGCTCTGTCTTGCATCTGTGATCATCCGCAACTTTGTTCTATTGCGCTTCCAAACAAAAAAGACCCCAACTTTACAAGCAGGACTCCGGGTGTAAGTGAAGTACCCAATGGAGTGAAGTTTGCGAACCAACCGATGCTACGATTTTCGATTGTATTTCAACTTTGGATCCCAGTATGGCTGTGTGAGACTTGGATCCACACGTTCACCCTCTGCCTTGATCATCAGCTCTGTCTTCTCCTCCAAAAAATGACGGTCGCTCGGTGGCAGAAGGGTGGAAAGGTCTGGACACCCTCTGATGTCTGCCGGCACCGAGACGAGCTCAGGCTGGTAGGAGGCCAGTGAATCATTGATGGTCGCCATGTCATATGGCGAGCCACCCTTGAGAATCGCCTTGAGCGATTCCTCTTTTCGCATGATGCAGCCACTGGGCTTCTGGTCTTCAACCAGACCATCCACACGCTGCACCACACTATCCATCAAGGAGCAGGGAGAAAAATCATCGTCGCCCAGGTGATGAGCGCCAGCCATCCAATTGAGCGCAAAGATGACCTCATTCTTGTTCTCAATCACCCTTCGAATTCTGTTGCGACGCTGTCTCACGCCTCTTGAACAACCCACCTTTTTGGCAGGGCATGCAAAAAACGGCAATGGAAAGATACCCCTGCTATACGGTTCAGAAGCACCCACCACTGCTCTCCTCCTCATCGAACTTGGCCCATGGGGCAATGGCGGAGGAGAACCACTGCCCTCAGCAAAGTGCCTAGGCATCAGGCTGCCCTCCGCCCTTGCCCTCTTTGGATTTCTTGGGGCTCTTGGGCTTCACGGGCAGCGCATCAGATCCATCTCCATCATCCACATGAACTGCAGGAGAGCCCCGCAACTCGCGGACCTTCTGCCTCGCCTGCATCAACTCCAATTCATCTTTGTTTTTCTTTGCGGCTTATGTCCTAAAGCTAGGCGACACTATGTCCTCAGGAGTGCCCTGGCCAGAGAAGAGCTTGGCATTCTCCCAAGAAGGTCTGTTTGGATTTGAGTATGCATCCACGATTGCTTGGATTCGTCTGCAAATGGTTTCCATGGACATCAATGCAGGGATGTTGACCTGGTCAAAAGTGCCACACATGTACAAAGCATCACACAAAACTTTCATCGCATTGTAAGTGCGATCAGTCTGTTCAATGTGTTTGCTTCTGCACCAGAGTTGCAGCCAGAGGCGTGGATCGCCCCCATGACGCTCAGCATGCTGGATGAGATGTAAAGCTGTTGAAGGACCTTCTAGTGGGCGATCTTCAAACACAAGAGTAAAGGATTCCTTGACAACATCACGCCAACGCTTGAATCTTTCCCCATGCTCATCAAAATCCACCCAGAGTGTCCTGACTTCTCCATCTCCTTCAGCATCGTCAGCTCTGTTATCCTTGACCTTGTCCTTGCTGCTTCCGGCACCGGTCAGAACGCCAGCTCTGAAAAGGGCCCTCCTTTTGTCTGCATAGTCAGGGGCCTCAGAAGCTGGGATCATCTCAGCTTTCACCCAGTCACCACCACGCAACATCAACGCATGTCGATCTCCGCATTCCACATCAGTTTCAGCGTTGAGACTGACCTCTTGCCCCAAGGTGAGACCTCCCAAAGGTTCAGCCGCCACCTACAACCAGTCGCCATGAGCTGGCCTAACAGTCTGAGCATGTTTTGGTGTCCCAGACTGAACACCCGCATGGCCACCTTTTCCAGCTAGGTCGGCAAACTCGTCCCCAAACAAACTGTCAAGGGGCACGGCCGTGCCGGATTCATCATAAATCATTGAAGGCACATGAACCTCAAAACCTTTCTTTCGAGCAAGCTTCACTGAATCACGGAAGACCTTCTTGATGACATCATTGGTGATCGCTTCACGGAACCTGTAAGCCCTAGCACGCAAATTGCGTGGAAGGCCCATTCGTGCAGTCAATCCCTTCAGCTTCACTGGACCCTCTGAGCACTTGCAGCTCACACGCTCTAGGTAAAGGTCATGGTCAGGAGTATAGATGTATGCGCATTCATCATTTGCTATGAGTCCTAGGAGTGCCTCATGCCAAACCGTGTCACCAGAGTACCACAGCAAAACTCGTCGGGCTAGGCCTAAGTCACGATAGTACTCCACCTCCGCGGCGCCTACCCCCTCTGTCGATAACTGCATGATCAAAACACCCTGTCAACCAAAATCCAATCGTAGCCAAGAATGCACCCAGAAATATGCCAAAAATGACAGATCCCAGAATCAACCCATGACTTCGATCACTGACTACTGGCTCAGGATAGGCCTCCACGCCACAGTGCTTGTCCAGTCGTGAGTGCTCGCGGAGGACTATGGCAAGAAGCTGAACGGCCACTGCACCCCAGAATCTCATATCTAGAGCCAAGATTTCTTGAAACAACGACATCCCACATGAGCTCATGCCAAAACTGTGTTTCACACTCCAATATACATATATGCATGGCGCGAGAAAGAGAGAGAAAGAGAGAGAGAAAGAGAGAGAGAGAGAGAAAGAGAGAGAGAGAGAGAGCGAGAGAGAGCGAGAGAGAGAGAGAGAGAGAAAGAGAGAGAGAGAGAGTACCATGCAACATATGTATACTTTATCGTGCGTTCCGCTAGCCCTGGGTTCTCCGATGGCGCATTGCTTCCACTGAGGTTGTGTGACGTTGCCGCTGTCTTTGCTAGCGATGGCGTCAACGACTTCATAAGAAAACGCCAACTTTGAGATTCCATCATCTCTTGCTTCCCTGGGGTTTCGGGAGACCAGGTGAGAGGCATTAACCTTCAAAAACACTTGAATTCCTAGATCATGCTACACTACTGCATGTTCACGTCATGTATCTTCGTTCATCTTACATCACTTCGTGTGGAGTTCATGCATGACAGAATCATGCTGTGCTACTGCACGCTCACGTCATGTATCTTCGTTCATGTTACATATGTTACTTCAATTCGTGTAAAGTTCATGTATGACAGAATCATGCTGTGCTACTGCACGCTCACGTCATGTATCTTCGTTCATGTTACTTCACTTCGTGTAAAGTTCATGTATCACAGAATCATGCTGTGCTACTGCACGCTCACGTCATGTATCTTCGTTCATGTTACTTCACTTCGTGTAAAGTTCATGTATGACAGAATCATGCTGTGCTAATGCACGCTTCACGTCCATGTATCTTCGTTCATGTTACTTCACTTCGTGTAAAGTTCATGCATGACAGAATCTACTGCGCTACTGCACGCTCACGTCATGTATCTTCGTTCATCTTACATCACTTCGTGTAGAGTTCATGCATGACAGAATCATGCTGTGCTACTGCACGCTCACGTCATGTATCTTCGTTCATGTTACTTCACTTAGTGTAAACGTTCATGTATGGACAGAATTCATGCTGTGCTACTGCACGCTAACGTCATGTATCTTCGTTTTCATGTTCATATGTACTTCAATTGTTTTTTTTTTTTTTGTGTAGAGTTCATGCATGACAGAATCATGCTGTGCTACTGCACGCTCACGTCATGTATCTTCGTTCATGTTACTTCACTTCGTGTAAAGTTCATGTATGACAGAATCATGCTGTGCTACTGCACGCTCACGTCATGTATCTTCGTTCATGTTACATATGTTACTTCAATTCGTGTAAAGTTCATGTATGACAGAATCATGCTGTGCAACTGCACGTTCACGTCATGTATCTTCGTTCATGTTACTTCACTTCGTGTAGTTCGATGTTATCACCGAATCATTCTATGTGCACTGGCACGCTCAACTCAAAAATGTCTCTTCTGTGGTCATCGTTCCTTCAACTCTGTGTAAATTCATGTATGAATGACAGAATCATGCTGTGCTACTGCACGCTCACGTCATGTATCTTCGTTCATGTTACTTCACTTCGTGTAAAGTTCATGTATGACAGAATCATGCTGTGCTACTGCAGGCTCACGTCATGTATCTTCGTTCATGTTACTTCACTTCGTGTAAAGTTCATGTATGACAGAATCATGCTGTGCTACTGCACGCTCACGTCATGTATCTTCGTTCATGTTACTTCACTTCGTGTAAAGTTCATGTATGACAGAATCATGCTGTGCTACTGCACGCTCACGTCATGTATCTTCGTTCATGTTACTTCACTTCGTGTAAAGTTCATGTATGACAGAATCATGCTGTGCAACTGCACGTTCACGTCATGTATCTTCGTTCATGTTACTTCACTTCGTGTAAAGTTCATGTATGACAGAATCATGCTGTGCTACTGCACGCTCACGTCATGTATCTTCGTTCATGTTGCTTCACTTCGTGTAAAGTTCATGTATGACAGAATCTACTGCGCTACTGCACGCTCACGTCATGTATCTTCGCTCATGTTACTTCACTTCGTGTAAAGTTCATGTATGACAGAATCATGCTGTGCTGCTGCATGCTCACGTCATGTATCTTCGTTCATGTTATATACTTCACTTCGTGTAAAGTTCATGTATGACAGAATCATGCTGTGCTACTGCACGCTCACGTCATGTATCTTCGTTCATGTTACTTCACTTCGTGTAAAGTTCATGTATGACAGAATCATGCTGTGCTACTGCACGCTCACGTCATGTATCTTCGTTCATGTTGCTTCACTTCGTGTAAAGTTCATGTATGACAGAATCTACTGCGCTACTGCACGCTCACGTCATGTATCTTCGCTCATGTTACTTCACTTCGTGTAAAGTTCATGTATGACAGAATCATGCTGTGCTGCTGCATGCTCACGTCATGTATCTTCGTTCATGTTATATACTTCACTTCGTGTAAAGTTCATGTATGACAGAATCATGCTGTGCTACTGCACGCTCACGTCATGTATCTTCGTTCATGTTACTTCACTTCGTGTAAAGTTCATGTATGACAGAATCATGCTGTGCTACTGCACGCTCACGTCATGTATCTTCGTTCATGTTACTTCACTTCGTGTAAAGTTCATGTATGACAGAATCATGCTGTGCTGCTGCACGCTCACGTCATGTATCTTCGTTCATGTTACTTCACTTCGTGTAAAGTTCATGTATGACAGAATCATGCTGTGCTACTGCACACTACACTACTTGAACCAAGAGCCTGGGTTGGAGCGTGTTCTTCGTGCTCTTGCACAGAAGGCTTCAGGTGGGTTAGCAAACCCATCCCGGTGTTTTCAAAAACCAGTGGTTCACATGGAAGAACAAAACAAGGCTGACTATCACGGGAGTCGGTGTGAGGACCACAATTTTCTTTGATATTTGCAATTGATGGCGACTTTGGAAAGACTATGAACCTGGTCGCAAGATTCCAATCTAAAAATTCAACAACCTGTTCAATGTTTTTCGCTTCTTGGAAGTTCAAAAAAAAAAATGATAATTGTTTTTGTTTTGTGAAATGGACATTTTCTGTAAGGGTCCTATCTGTACAGTATATAGCATTTAGTGACTGGAATCCCCAAAATTCATCTTGACCATTTGAAATTTGAAATGGAAATTTAAGTGGCCACGCGACAAATCACCAGTATTTGCATGTGGTAGCCTGCTGCATGGTGGATCGTTTGACGCAGTTTCCTTTTTTCACGAGTTCACCACAACTGCAGGTATTGGTAGCATGGATAGACAAAACCTGATCAATTTCTTCCCCTCTCCAAGTCACAGGTTGTGAATTTTAACAAGGTAAAGAAGCATGAACACCCAATAACTTTTGTCATGTGTCGACCCAAACCCACTAATTTCACCAGAAAAACCGTTTGGTTTGGAATTCGGTGGCACAACTTTGAGAGCAACCCACAAGACGCATGAAAAGCACCCGCCTTCAATACACCGACGTGTCTCGAATTTGAAACTTAAGCATATCATTTCAAAATCACCATCATCAACCATGCTCAACCATGATCAACACACCCAATGGCCCAATGTCTTTTCGGCCCTGCTGCTTCAATTGCCCCAGCTCGGCGGGAATTTCCCCCGAAAGTAGGTTCCGCCATAGCAGAAGCCACCGCAAGGATGTGAGTTGGCCCAAGGCCCTGGCAACGTGATCATTTCATCCCAACATGATGTTTCTATGTTCACATATATCATATAGCTTATCAGAATCCAAGAGTGCGTAATCCAGGATCATACAAAAGTCACTAAAACTCCAGGAATCAGAAATGAACATACGAACGTACATATGGACTTCAGACTGCGCAATGTGCGCGGTCAAGGTGCGCAATGCGCGCGACCCAAAGTGCGCGATGTGATGCAAATTCGCGGGGTCAAGACGTGCAACGTGCACAACCAATGCGCGCAATAGATTTGCCGATTGCACAACAAAGAATGTTCATTTTTAAGGTCATATTTGGCAAAAGAAAATGAACATGTGAAAGTGCGCAGTGCCACGCTGACCCGCGCACTCTGCTCGCCCACTTGCGTGTTCACCCGAATACCCCACTAGCGCATTTGCGCGTTCACCCTCGCCCTTGTACGTTCACTTTTCAACCCCTGCGCGCGCACATGCACATTCCACTTGCGCACCCATTGCGCACTGCGCGTGTGCTACCCGCGCACCTCGTAGGCAAAATCTTGAAAAATTGTTTTCACATATAGCCACATAAATACCAGTAGTACCGCACAAGGCGGTGGCAGAAGTTTCAAAGATAGGACACCTATAGGAGAGGTTGGCTGTTGTGAATCACGGGTGGCAGGGCGAATCCACAGATGGACCGAAAGGTGGTTGGAGGTGTGTGTTTTTGGAGTGGTTGCAATGGCCACAACTGCAGGATGTAGTGTGGTGTGGTGCTGTAGTAGTTGTAGTTGTAGTGCCATGTAGTGAAGTTGTAGTCGTGATGTAGTGTAACTAGTGTAGTTGCAGTTGCAGTCGTAGTTGTGGTGTGGTGCAATGAGTGTAGTGTAGCATAGTGCACTGCAGTGTTGTGTACTGTAGTGTGGTATAGTCTAGTGTAGTCGAATTTAGTGTAGTTTAAAGTAGTGCAGTTGTAGTTGTGGTTTGGTGTCGTGTGATTAGTATAGTGTAGTGTCGTGTAGTGTAGTTGTCATTGTAGTTGTAGCTGCTGTGGCAGTAGTAGTAGCAGAAGTAGAGGTAGTAGTAGTAGTAGTAGTAGTAGTCGTCGTCGTCGTCGTCGTTGTCGTCGTCGTCGTCGTCGTTGTCGTCGTCGTCGTCATCGTTGTCGTCGTCGTCGTCGTCGTCGTTTTCGTCGTCGTCGTCGTCGTCGTCCGTCGTCGTCCGTCGTCGTCCGTCGTCGTCCGTCGTCGTCCGTCGTCGTCCGTCGTCGTCCGTCGTCGTCCGTCGTCGTCCGTCGTCGTCCGTCGTCGTCCGTCGTCGTCCGTCGTCGTCAGTCGTCGTCAGTCTCAGTCGTCGTCAGTCTCAGTCGTCGTCAGTCCCAGTCGTCGTCAGTCTCAGTCGTCGTCAGTCTCAGTCGTCGTCAGTCGTCGTCAGTCGTCGTCAGTCGTCGTCAGTCGTCGTCAGTCGTCGTCAGTCGTCGTCAGTCATCGTCAGTCGTCGTCAGTCGTCGTCAGTCGTCGTCAGTCGTCGT